CAGACTCTGACCCCTGTCCTGTATAAAACACACTGTCACTCTCAGACCTTGATTTCTGTGCCACACATCAGCAGTTGGTATCAATAGAGACTGCTCCCACCATGTTAAAAAGAAATGCCCACTTTTCTGAGGAGTCTATTAATTATTAATAATTTTTGGCCTTGCTTTTTCCACCCAGATAATGTTCAGGGTATGTCGGACAGATTGAGAAACACTGCTGTAAATACCATTCACTCTTCATTCCTAGACACTGTGCTGCTGATCAGTCTACATTTAACCGCTGAACTACGTTAGGCAGAGAAGTTGTTGCTCTGTATAAGTTATATCTCTAGGCCATCGTGACATTTTCAGTTTGGAAGCAACCCGCCTCTGCAAGGTTTGCAGATCCTGAGTGAACTCTGAGTTTTACTGACACACTGTCTTTGACAACCATTGACAGAAAGATGTGTCAGTGGGCACTGATTTAACTTCTGGGATGTAGTGCTCATTGATCTCACTTCCCTCAACAAAACGTGGCCCCAGCAACGATCCGCAGTAAAGTTCAGCCTAATGAGCAGCAAAATAGCCTCAAGTGGGTTTGGATGTGCTGTTTGCTATCTCTCAGGAGAATAATCTTGCAGTCACTTTGGGGCCCTGATTCTAGAATTTCCTAGAATGTTAACTGTTTGAAATGTTGGTACAGCTTTCATTAATATTCAGCATGCGGCATTCCAATAATAGCTTATTTGTTAGGAGTTTATTCTGCAGTGCTGCAAGAGTTGGGGAAGCTAGAAGCAAACTGACATCGCGCCAGGGTGGGTCTTAATTGGCCACATCATGATGCCGATTGGCCACTTAAGGGTCTTTAATAAATCCGCAGAGCCTGATACCTCCCCCAGCCCCTGCAAATCTCCAGGCAGCTCAGGGTGGGGGAAGCTAGGTGGCATCAGTGAGATGGATGTGCACTGGGTGTTAAGAGCCCTCCCACTTTCGAACATAGCTAATGCAGTCCCAACTATATCATTTCTGTGCAGAAGCTGCCTAACTTACCAAGGTGCTCCAGTGTTTTCTGTTTCAGATTCCCAGAGCCTTGCAGTATGTTAGCTTGAGAAATTGGGTGAGTTTTCATAGGAGTAAAAGACTAGATTTTATGAAATGCGATGTCACCCAAACGCTCCCTGGACTCTGTTGGGAGATGCCCTGGAAATTGCCAGCTGTTTTGAAACCATTTTACACTGGATGGACACAAATAGGCTCTGGGCAAGATTCCCAACCGTCTCTGGGAGCAAGTACCACCTCGGATACTTGTCAGCAAATCTGATTGGCCGGTAGCTCATGGTCCAGGCAGCATCGTTTGATTGGTGGTTATAGCTGGATCCACAAACAGCCTCCTCTTGTACAGAGGAGGATATGGAGGCCAGACCAAAGGTAAGGCTGGGGTATCAGTGGGCTCTGATTAAAAATGGGAGAAAAGCAGAGAGTGTTGGAGAAACTCAGCAGGTCTGGCAGTATCTGTGGGGAGCCAAACGGAGTTAACATTTCAAATCCAGTCACCCTTCTTCAGAATTGATCTTAGCAAGGAAAAAGTGGTATTGTGTTGATGACGTGGAGGGAGGACGTGGTTTGAGAGTCCAGAAGGGGGGGGGGGGGGGGGGGGGGGGGGGGGGGGGGGGGGGGGGGGGGTGGTGAACAAAAGGGCGTTTATGATATGCAATGAGTTGATGCCTCTACTGGACACAGGGAACCCATAAAGGAGCTTTCTTAGCCCTCTTCCCTGGCACCAAGCTGCCCAGTGAAATACTGCTGGTCTGACTGCTTGGTGAGAGCTGCCCTCTGCCATGGGTAAGAAAGTGTCAGGTGTGAGATGGGTCTGAGCAGTCGTGCCAAGAGACCACTGGCTTTTGGAACTCAGATACAAGTATTCATAATGGCCACAGCTGTCATAAAATTATTGCAACTATCAACCTGAAATTGAAAGAACAGCTGGTGTTCTGGCCATTTCAAACCAAGTTCCCTGTCAATAACTGAAGGGAGGCAGGCACTCAGATTTTATTTTATCCTTCAAAAGCAGATTTTTGTTATAACTAGAGAGTGATCTGTATTTTTATATTTCTAGTCAAATTTTCGAATACATTGTTGCACTTTATCCAATGGAAGATGTGCTGTAATGCATACCAACACATACACACAATGTTGAGGAATGTGAAAGTCAACCTACTTCTGCAGAACAAAGCCCTGAGATGAATTACTACATTAAATCACATTCACATTGCAGTGCGGTATCTAATATTGACATGTAAAAGAATGAAAATATTTTATACTTGCCTTTCAGAATGTTCCTAACTCCTCAGCTGACTTCCCTCAATGGTCACTAACTCTCCAAGAACATGCATTTTGTTAGGGTTTCCACAGCAGGACAGGAAGATAGTGCATGGGAGGGAAATAAAATGTCCCTGCAGTCATCACAATGGGGACCCCAGCAAAGATGCATAAGCAATTTGCACCTAAGATGTTTGCAGCTCAGGAAAAGAGTATAAAAAATGGTGTAGTCTCAGCAAAGTTTCAACATTTTGTGATCCAATTCACACCTTCATTAGGAAACGAAAATCTGGTCCTATGCAACATTTAAAAAATATATAGTTAAGTAGTTAAAGGAAAAGGGGCAAAGGGATATAGGTATTGATTCAGATCACTGTTCATTTAGTGAATAAAACATCAACTTGAACTGGTTGGATTGAAGGTCTCGTTCACTGTTATATCCCGTAAGTCACTGGAAACAGTACATTTTTGACATAATTATCACTGATACACTGGATTATATTTAATATTTGTGCCTCAAAATCACTCATGTGCCTTAACCTGGCTTTCTCTCTACTAACTCTTCCTGAATGGATTGGTCTGATGCACCAGCGCTGCCTGGATCTCAGTAACCTTCAATAATCTTGGCCTAATTCTCCCTCTCTAAAACCTGCCTCCTTGAAACACACCTTTCTACCTTTGGCCAGTCTTTCTAATTTCTCACTTCCCAGCTCGTTGCCACTTTGCAAAGGGGTTTCTTTTCATTGATGTAAGCACCCTTGGTGGCTTCTTTAAGTGGACAAGCTCAGATGCGAATATGACTTGTGACTATTATTCTTTCATCTCCATTTCTTCTACCTACAGGTGTGATATTTGGAGCATTGTGTGGAGGATTGCTCCGATATGCATCTCCCATCCACCCCAATATTGTCATGATCATAGCATTCCCAGGTGACATCCTTATGCGGATGCTGAAGATGCTGATTCTTCCTTTGATCATCTCCAGTTTAATCACAGGTGAGAGACAGTGACTGCACTCCTGGGAGATGTACAAAGTGCACATCCCTAGACAAACTTCAATCCTCCTTTCGACATTACCTCTTTTGGTTTTATTTGGGATGTACAAAGATTTCTGAAGGAAGTAAGAGTGGAGTTAACAGGAACTCTGACTGCATTTTTCTAAAGCTGCAGTGACTGAAGGATTGTAGATGTTAGAGTAAAGAGAGGAAAACAAACTCAGCATGTACAGACCAGTCAACCACAAACTAGTACATGGCAAACAGAGCCAACAGTCAGAGAACTAATGAATTGTCACTTGGAAAAGTATTATTTCATAAGTGACAGTCAGCAAGGATTTGCAAGCTAGGCTGGGTTCTTTGTAAAAGGAGTGCAGAAGGTTACTGCAGCTGGTGGTCTGTGCAAAGACTTTCAAAAGGTGTTTGACAGCATATGGCATAACCGATTTGCGAACAATATTAATGCTCTCAGGATCAAAAGGACAGTAGCAGTGTGGGTAGAAACTTGACAAAGGGAAATAAAGCAGGCAGGGGTGGTTAACAGCTCCTTTTCAGGTAGAAGGAAAATAAACACTGGTGTCACTCAGGCTTCGGTATTAGCATTGCTGCTGTCTTTGCTATATGGTATATTATTGACGTGCTGTTGTGTATACATTTCAAAACTCCAGACTGCAGCAGAAACAGTGCATGGTGTAGTTTCAGACCAAGAAGATATAGATGGACTGGTGAAATAGACAGGGTAATTTAACTTGTGACTGTGTGAAGTGTTGGCTATGTTTTGGTACAAAGATCCAGGGAAGGCAAATTGAATCAAATGATAACTTTATAAAAGGGCGTGCAAGAACAGAGAAACCTGGGAGTGGTGTGTACACATGTGAAGATGAGAATAGGCTAAGAAATTTGTTTAAAGAGCAAGCAGGTTCCTTGGCTTTCTAAACAGAGGCATTAAGTCAAAAAGCACAGAGATGGTTAAAGACTAGACCTTCAAAGGTGAATTATGATCAGTTCACATTTTGAAAGAACATCTGTGTTTTTGAGAACATGCACAGGAAACTTAGTAGAACGGTACCAAGAGTGTGAGACCTCAGCTCATGGAGTTGCGGGAACAACAGGAATGGTTTTTCTTAGAGAAGGGATGATTAATTGAAGGTTTAATTGGATTGTTGAATATCAATGAAGAGTGTTGGTTGATTAAATAAGGAGAAACCGTTTTAGCAAGACAGAACAATCAGAAGGTACAGGTTTAAATTAATCGGCAAAAGTTCTGTGTGAAGGTTTTGTATCCTTCGCAAATAGGGTTTGGCCCACATACCAGAAATTGTTCACTTTTTGTTGGAAACTATACACAGTGTAAAGAAATGTCCTGCCCGTTTTAACCTGCTGTATCAAATCTATGTTTGTTGACATTGACAAGGCTTATCTGGACTCGATGCTAAGGCCAGCGGGCGTCTGGGAACCAGAGCCATGGTGTATTACATGTCTACCACTATCATCGCTGCGATACTCGGTGTGATCCTGGTACTCGCCATCCACCCAGGGAACCCTGCACTGAGGAAGCAACTCGGAGAAGGGAAGAAGAATGAAGAAGTGTCGAGCTTGGATGCCTTTCTGGATCTCATCCGGAATCTCTTCCCTGAAAATTTGGTGCAAGCCTGTTTTCAGCAGGTGGGTGAATGATTTGAGCCAGAATGCAGCTTCACTGCAGATTCATCTACAAGTGGGGGACGGGGGTACTGGGGATGATGAGTAGCTTGGTGTTCACTGGATGTGGGGACCAGGCTAGTGGGGAATAGGAAGGAAAAGGCAGGAGGATTTGGTGGAGGAAAGGGTGAGTAGGTCATGTCAGGAGAGGGGAAGCTGCTCCATGCCAAAGGTGGGAAGGTAGGAAGCTGCTGTTCTTTATAAGGAACCCGTTGGCATATCCTCCAGCTTATCTCCAGCAGCTTGCATTGACAGGTATCTAGTGGCTGGCTATAGATCAGCCAGCAGCATCCTCACATTTGCAGCTAAACTGGGAGAAATCACTGCAGCATGCTGGGAACTTGATTGGCTCCTCTTCTGTATCTTCATCTCCATCTACAGGAAATTACTTGCAATGAAGGAAAGATCTATCTCTCCACATCTATCCACATCACTCTATAATCTAAAGTTAATCTAGATCTATCAGAAGCAGATGCATGTCTGTAGGATCGTGTTTCCTGACCCAGGACAAAGACTCAGGAGGCAGGCAGGATTCAGACAAGTGATCTTATAGTATTAGCTAGATATTGTAATCGCTAGGCCTTAGGATCTTTGTATGCATCCTATTCATTTGCATTCTAAAAGTTTAATGGCTATACTCCTTTGAGTTTTTCTCAGGCTTGTTTATCTGTAAGGACTGATCGAATCTATACCCATTGTGTTTTGGTGCTGTCTTTTATCACATTCAGTTACTCCTTTTATTTTCCCACTGTCCCAATTACATAATGTAAAAATAAAAAGTCAATTAGTTTTAATTAATTGCTGTAAGGTTAACTTCTGTTTTAAAGTTAATTATGTGTAAAATGTTACACAACTACTTCCACTGTCAGCATTTTGTAATTTAGAGGTTGTGACCAATCTATCTTGTTCAGAGCATAAGAGAAGGTATCTCTAAAGGCTAGTTAATCTTTACATCTAAGCTTAAATTTTTTTTAAGACTTGTATTATATCCTGGTTATGTATTGAAACCAACTTCTATCATTATAGCATTTTTAGCTGAAACTATTTAATATTGCTCATTGTTTCAAAGAAACAACTATTTACTACAAAATAACTTTAGCTGTTGTCCTTGCAACTGATAAAGGACCTAATCTAGCAACTGACGTTATTCATTTACTGGGACAATCACCCTTTCATTAATAAAGCTGGAATTGGTCATTTACCTGTCCTAAGGCTTCCTTCTTTCAGAACTGTCTCAGATGGGAACATACAGCGTTCCTTTACTGACCTTCTAGCAGTTCTGTTCAAAGGTACCATTGTATTTCAGTGTGTGAGTAGGCTGTTTAGTTTTGATTAGCTTCTGTCTGTCATCTTGTAAACAGGCATGAGGCGCTTAGTGTGGTCAGGTACAACCTACCTTACGTAGCCAGGTACAGGTCACACCTACAGATCCCCCCTTTGGCCCTAAGCCAAATCACACAGGGCCACTATTAGTTCAAGGAGCCCAAAAATCTAAATCAAATTCCAAGAGTATTCTTCACCAAGTGATGTTGCATCCATGATCCTCTTGCTGTTGTTCAACGTCCCAAGGGATCCCAACCATCCTGGTGCCCAACTCCACAGGGTCATAGATGGGGTTGTTTAAGTTTGTTCATTTCCTTTTGGATATGGTCGACCTAATCAGTAATTTCCTCCATGTTATCAGGGACGTATGTGCAGCATTCCTTCCTGTACCCCCTTCCTCTGCTAACATCATGTCGAGGGCAATTTGGCTCGACAATGCCAAGGTTTGTATGGTGACCATTTCTGCATTTATTTTGCTCAAAAGGTCATGAGGTGTCATAGGCCACTTGCTCTAAGCCTCTAGCCAAATTGATAAATTCTCTGGATAACTTGTGTGTGCCGTACCGGGGTAAGAATATGGAGAGGAGCCTATCTGCTTCTGAAATTGCACATTTGCGTCATCCTGGTGTCATCTACAGGAGGGACACTGTGTGGCATATGAATGGTACCACATAGGCCAAGTAATGTGATCCTGTCCAGGTTGGGGGTAGCCAGCCATAGGCTCTGTGTCCGCACACAAAGTAGGTGCCATTGTAAGGGACGAATTGGGTAATAATCTCTGGGCACCAGCATTGTTCGAACATTCTGTCACTCATGAGGTTCCTGAAGGTCAGGAGGCTAGGGCCGCCCTGTGTGAGGAGAGACTCATTTAGGGATCCCGTGGTCAGGGAGAGTGCCCTGATGGATCCTGGAAGAGGGTATGTGGAGATGTTATAACTTTAGGTGCAGTTACTAAATCCCATGGGTGTTCCTTTTCTTTGGTTTTCAACTCTCATTAGGCAGATCATGCCATCAGGTCTCCCTGTCCCTGATGTGTTAGTCAATGTGATGAAGGGGATGTGTCATGAGGTTGTGTAGTTGGGTTGGTACCATCCTGTAAAAGTGTTCAGGTTATACCCTGCTGATTTCCATTGTGCCCTATCTCGGTCAGCATTTACTAAGTACTTCCCACTATTGGTAGGATGCATCTCTATCTCCCTGTTTTGAGCTATTCTGTCTTAATACCCATTTGGCTAATTGTGAGGTTGCATTGGTATCCCTCCCTTAGAGTGTATGGGGACATGGGTGCAGACCCAGCAATCGGAAACATTATGCTCTCTAGCTTACACGTGAAAAATTCAAAACGTATTAACATTCAAATTCCTTTTCTCCACTTGCCTATCAGCCTCTGATGGGATCAAAACTAAGAAACCCACAGAGGCTTAGCATTTTCATACTCACGTTAATGTCAGCAACGTTCATAATTACAGTCATAACCGTGCAACCGCGTCACATATATTTACATGTGACCTTAATCTGTTCCGGTTGTTGTCCTGGGATTGAGGATCCCGTTCCTGCTGTTTGTTGGTGTGCACAGATGAGGGTCCTCTAAAACCTGCAAAAGGGAAAGAGAGAGATAACATACCAGACGAGCAGGCTGGACAGTCACCCCATCAACAATTATATACTCTTAGCTGTGACAGGTGTCTCCATTTACCAATTCCATTTTCATTAATAAGGGCACTTCTCTTACCTGTTAATATTACCTCATGAGGTCCGTCCCACTTGGGGAGGACAAGGCTCCCTTGTTTGGGATTATTTTTACCAGGACCTTTGATCCTGGGGCTGGCATTTCTGTTTGTCCTGGGTATCCTTCAGATTCCCAGTCCTTGACAAGCTGCTGGTCTCGTGCCTGTCCATGAAGTATGTGTAGATGCTTACAGAGGGATTTCATATAATCCCAGACTTGTCCTTTGCTGTTAGTCAGTTCTGCTCCTCACTGTGATTAAGCCTTGGGGAGTGTCATTGCTCATCCTGTCACGTGTTCAAAGGGTGTTAGTCCAGTGGCCCTAGGGGGTGTTGCCCTTTGGGCCATCAGAATGGCTGGTAGGGAAAGGGTCCATTTAACCCCTGCTCCTATCGTTGACTTTCAGTATTCTATTCACTCTCTCTACCATTCTCGAGTTCTGTGGGTGGTAGGGGATATGATACTTTGCCTTATTCCCAGTAGTTTACATGCTTCCTTCAGGCACTTGCCATGAAACGGCTGCCTTGGTCTGAGTCTATTTGTAAGAGGACCCCCCTCCCCACCTACCTAGGTATTATTTCTGCTGCCAATATTTTTGCCACTGAGGTTGCAGTACAGTCCTTTGTGGGGAAAGCTTCTACCCATCTGGTAAACTGATCAACCATGACCAGACAGAACTTCTTATTCTAACTTTGTGGGAGTGGCCTATGAAGTCAATTTGAATATGTTCCCATGGCCTTCTTGGACAGGACTGATGGCTCATTTTAATTTTAACTCCCTGTCCTGGTTCTGTCTGTGCTCATGCAGTGCATCTTTGACAAAGTCTCTCCCCATTCCTCTCCACCACCAACAATTAGATATCAGCTGTATCATTTTTATTTCTCTCTACGTGTGCTAATCCATGGTAAACATTGCATAATGTCTGCTGGCAGAATGTAAGGACTACCACTTTGCCTTACTTTCTCCAAATGTCATCTGCTCCTAACACTGCCCTGTCTTTAGTCCATTCTGCTTTTTCTTCTGAACTAGCTGCTGCTTATAAATTTAAAATGTTCCATTCATCATCTTAGGCTTCCCGCTCTCTCTCAACTGCTATCATTATCACTTCCTGTTCTAACATTGCTTTTGCTGTGCTATCTGCGTAACTATTCTCTCTCTGCTCTGGTGTTTGAATTTTCCTGTGTGCTTTTATTTTGATTACTGCTGCTTCTTTCGGTTCAGTAGCCACTAGGTCCTTGACTGGGTTCACATGCTGGATTACACTACCACTCGAAGTAACATAACCTCACCTTGCCCATGCCATCATGTAGCCATGGACTACACTGAAGGCACACCTACTGTCTATGCAGATGTTAAACCTCTTCTCCTCTTCCTAACTTCGGGCTGCCCTTTCAAATAAACTATGGCCCACCCTGTCTGGGCCTAACTATCATAATACTTGTGCGCCCTATCTACAAACATGCATTTCACATCTGGCCCCTGTAATGGATCTTCCTTATCTTAACCCTGTCTTTCTTCTTCCTGTTCCAAAGATCTGGATACAATCATGTGTCTCTCCTTCTTTCTCTAAATTTTTCACAGTCTCTTTAACTGCCTCAACAGCTTCAGGTCTGATGGGGTACTGCCTTTTAAGTGGGTGTACATTTCCAGGTATTTCAATCAGTTTTATATCTGATCTCCCGGACCCCGTTTTGGTGGTTGCTCATAACTTGGGGCACATCATTGCTAATTTATGGTAGGGATTCTTGGGGTCCCAATCCCACTCAATTGTGATGGCACAGATACTCTTAAGGAAGAATGCAATCCTTGACCTTTAAAATTTTAACCGGTAATCCCACTCAATTTTTGCTTCAAAAACAAAGTTGCTGGAAAAGCTCAGCAGGTCTGGCAGCATCTGTGAAGGAGAAAACAGAGT